CTATTTATTTATGCACCTATCAAGCCAAAATTGCCATTTTCAAAGAAAGCTCTCATTGCTTTAATCCGCATTGCATGGTAAAATAATTAAATCAATAAGAATACATACATATTCATGGCTAAGGCTTCTTTATTTCCACCAAATGAGGGAAAGGGTCTGTTGCACCACGAGGTCTGGGGGCACGCGCTGCCGCAGTGCGGACCATCGGATTTATTTGGGAAAGCACGAGGGAGGACAAGAGAGGCGCAACTGTGCGTGCTGCAGCAAGTCGTCATTGATGCTCTTTTACTTTTTCGGCACTGGAAACTGAGAAGGTGCGCCCTGCGCCTGTCGCAAAGCACTCTCATAGTCACGTTTTGAATGGAGCGTGTTGTTGTTTCTCTGAAGCGGGCTCCGTGTGCCAACGCGACAGGGGAACACGGTTGGCGATGGCAGGAGTTCTTCCCGGAACGGCACTGGAGTGCAGGGTTCCCAGAGTGGGTCGCTCGCCGAGGCGGGAATGGCTCTCAGGGATTGCCCCGAGGCTGCTTCTCAATGCCGTTGTTGTTGTTGTTGACGGCAAATCGCTGATGGGAGAGCGAGGGACGGTATGCTGTCGTGTGATTTCTCACAGTGGCATTTGTTGGAGCGCTGCATGTGTGTTTGCCTTGCGGATGTAGTGTTTTGGATTCCTATTTCACGCTGTTCGGTGCCGCCGAAGTGGACGGGGAAGTGATGCAGTCACGAGCTGCACGGGCGTGGTGGACGCGGTTACGCGAGCCTGTGGATGATCCGTGCAAATCAAAGTGTACCATGCGGTTTGGGTCTACAAGGAAGGAAGAGACAGTGGGCGGTGAGGGGAGTTGCAATGCACGCGGCTGCGGAAGATGACATGCGTTGCTGAGTTCACGTTGACTACCACTTTGGGTGCTTTTTCTTGAGGCCGTGAATCCTTCCTAATTTACTTGGAGGTGCTTGATGACGCCAGTTGTGGAAGGCATTTTCATTTTATACGAAGATGGCACACTGGAAACAAGGACGAAAGAGAGCGACGTCTCGCCAAAGGAGCGGCTGCTGGAACGTTGACGAGACTCGGGATTGTTTGCACGGCCAGCTGCATTTCTTCGGCAGGATGTTCCTTGAGGCGTTCATTGGCCCGAGTGTGAGGTGCACGCACGGGCAGGCACCGCAACAACCGTGTCATTGGTTCTCCGTTGCACGAATGAGACGACGCACATCAGGCGTGGCAGGTGACGTCTCCTGCGGGCCCTCCCACCGCCTCTTCTGTTTCACATCTTGGCATTTTCTGCGCTGTGGACACCGCTCCCACTGGCCGTCTTCTGTGACACGAGAGCCGCCTGTACTCCTTTCCATCGCATTGCAGAGCCGTGAGGAGGGCCTGAGGCTGCGTTGAGGAGCCGTGTGGCCTCTGCGAGCATGTCCTCTGTTTTTCATAGGTGTTGAATTTTGGATTAACGAAACGCCACTTGAGTGGCTTGCGTTAGAGGCAAACATAACTGAGGGACAGGCGTGTTTCTGGAAGTGAAGGAGGGCCACGCCATTGGGAGGAGGAGGAGTGAATGGGTGGGTGGTGTCTGTGGCCCACATGTGGTGCCCGACTGGTGCTTCACTTTGTTTGGTGCTGTTATCATTTGCATCCACAAAGAATGGCTTTGGGTGCTGCTTTTCCCAACTCTCTTACTGTTTCTGTGCGTTGCGTGTTTGTGGACATGACTCTTCTTCCGTGCTGTGCATTTGCCGCGTAAGCTGTCGATGGTCTGTGTGAAATATGTGACGATTTGCGGCATTTTTTTGGGTTGTGCTTTGATCCCTGCCGCGGGGTGACAGCCAGATTGGAGGCGTTTCTTTTTCTTTACTGTGATCACGTGCGGTGTTTATGGGAGGCCTCTCGGGGAAGCGCCAGCCGACGTTCTTTTGAAGCCCAGGCATGGTGCCACACTGCTTATTGACGTGGAATGAGTTGGCGTTTTGCATGCAATCTTCTGTGCATTCTTGTCATGGTGCTCCTCATGCACAGCCCATGGAGACGACTGGCTGAGAATTGTCAATGGGCTTCTCGTTGAGTCGAGGGGAGCATAGCGTTTTTCTCGCTCATTGAGGGTCCGGGCGTCACAGATGATGCATGTGGCAGGCAGAACCTCGTGCATGGCGGAAGGAGGAGACGAGGGGCTGATTTTTTGATTGTTACTGACGAGTCCTGCCTCACTGCTTGGAGGGGGCTGTTGTTCGCTGGGGCAACCTGTTTTGTGTGTCCAGACACTGCTTGCGCCGAGTGGCGAGGCGCCCTGTTGGTGTGTGCGGCTCCATCGTGCGGGGCGGCTGCGTGACGTTTACGGACTGCGTGCCTGTGGGCTGATGAATGTGGCGGGAGGCGTGTCTGAGGAGAATCCGCGAAAGGAGGAGCGACATGCGTTTGGTGGTGCTGTTGTTCGAAGTGCGAGGGAGGAAGAAGCACAAGTGCTTTCTGACATGTCGGTGAGTGTGCCACGGCCACCGATGAGTTCTCAGGGAGAGGGACAGGAGGGAGGGAGACGGAGACTGTGCACATCCACTGCGGCGTGTGGTGCCACAGGATGCGATTGCTATTGCGACGGGTGCAACGGCCGTCATGCGTGCAGCAGAGCGTCGTCTGCATCTTTTTGTCTGCCGAGGTTGCAGGTGCTGCGAGGAGGTGCGGACGACCTCTCATCATTGTGCTGCTGAGGCCGTTTTCCTTTTTGCTCAGCGGGAGAAGCAACTCTTCCTGCACGTGACATGCTGGTCTGCATCGATGCTCCCCACGGGGTGTCACGCCGTCGTGTCTTTGCAGTGCAGCTCTCGTGCTTCTCACTGCGCGCATGGCCCTTTCTCATTTGCCTTATTTGCAGGGTCATGGCCTGTGGTCCCCATTGGGAGGTCGTTCACGTGTTTTTTTTGTTTTTTTTGTGGTATGCTGTTGAGAGGTGCCGGAAAATAATGGCTGTGGGGACGCTGATGTTGTGGTTCGCTGTGAGTGGTAGCGGTGTGTGCTGCTGTTGTGCTGCCTTTCCTACGCTTTTGCCTGTTGCTCCTTTCCAAGAAGGAAAACAAACGCTAAACGCTAATGTGAAATTTGAGGGCTTTGAAAGGACCAACAACAGCACACACCGCCCACAAACAAACACATATTTACATGCTTTCACGTGTTGCTGCAGTGAAGGCACCCAACGCACACAACCGTCGCCGCGTGACCGGATCCAGCGGAAGGAGGAGGGAAGGGAGAGAGGGTGAGCACCAGAGGCCCAACATGTCCCGGCATTTGTTTACTTCTGCGGTGCTGCTTCTCCTCGTCACGACGATGTGCTGCGGCAGTGTGGCTGCGGAAGTTCAGGGGCAGCTTTCTGGTTCCCTGTTTAAATGGACGGGCATCACTGATGATAAGGAACAAGTGGAATCGTTGGGTGTTCCCGGCCTGTTGAAAGTGGGGAGTGACGTGTTTGCCATTGCCAAGGCGCGGTGCACGAAGAAGAACGGTGAAGTCGACTTTTTTACTGGGGTTGCGTCCCAACTTCTCACGACAACAACTGCTAACAAGCCGGAGGAAGTGCTGAATGAAGTGAAGGATACACAGTTTTTGGAGAAAGTTGGTTCCGCAGAAAAGAAGAAAGTAAATGTAAGCCGACCAACAACTGTTGTGAAGGAAAATGATATTTACATGCTTGTTGGAAAATACAGCCAGACATCTGCCGGTGGTCTTGAGGAGAGCGGAAAAGATGACTGTGGGTTCTTGCTGGTGAAAGGGGAAGTCAATGGTAATGAGAAAAGTGTTAAAACAATTCATTGGAAAAGTTATAACGATGTCTCGCGGCCAACTTTTGGCGAACAACACAAATCCTTGACACGGTTGATAGGCAGCGGTGGATCAGGTGTTGAGATGAAGGACGATACGCTTGTGTTCCCCGTGGAAGCCGTGAATAAGGCGGAGGGCGTAGAAAAGGAAGAAAAGACCGTTTCGCTGATCATATACTCCTTGAGTAATAACAATTGGAAGCTGTTGAAGGAGATTTCTGACGATGGCTGCAGTGATCCCTCCGTCGTGGAGTGGAGGGACGGAAAACTCATGATGATGACTGCGTGTGATGATGGCCGCCGCAGGGTGTACGAGTCCGGTGACAAGGGGGAGTCGTGGACGGAGGCACTCGGGACACTCTCGCGCGTGTGGGGCAACAAAAAGGGTGAAAAGGTTGAACTCGTTGGGAGCGGGTTCACCACAGCGAAGATTGGCGATGACAGGGACGTGATGCTCATAACTCTGCCGGTGTATTCAAGTAAGGACGGCAATGGAAAGGGCGTACTCCATCTTTGGCTGATGGACAACACGCACATTGCTGATATTGGGTCGGTATCCGGGGAAGGGGACGAAGACGCTGCCGCCAGCTCCCTGTTGTACAAAAGTGGTAGTGCTGAAACTACTGATAAGAAGGAGCAGTTGATTGCACTGTACGAGAAGAACGGCAATGAAGAATCATCTTACGGTATGTTCTCTGTGCGTCTGACTGCGCAGCTGCAGCGGGTGAAGGATGTGCTGAAAACGTGGAAGGAAGTAGACGAGCGTGTGTCGAAGCTGTGCACCTCTTTAAGTGCTTTGGAGGGTACCTCAACTGAAAATGCCTGCAGCACTGTTGATATCACGGATGGGCTGGTTGGCTTTTTGTCCGGCAACTTTTCTGAGAACACGTGGAGGGACGAGTACCTCGGGGTGAACGCCACTGTGAAGAAAGAGGGGGCGGCAGCGGCCACAGTGACTTCCGATGGCGTGACGTTCCAGGGAGCGTGGGCGGAGTGGCCTGTTGGCGAGCAGGGGGAGAATCAGCTGTACCACTTTGCGAACTACAACTTCACTCTTGTGGCAACGGTGTCCATCCACGGTGTGCCGAAGGAGGGTCCTATTCCATTCATGGGTGTTCGTCTGGACGGTGAAAAAAAACTTATGGAGTTCTCGTACAACAAAGAAAAGAAGTGGCTATTACTCTGCGATGGAAAGCCGAAGACGGAGCACAGCCGCGATTGGGAGCCGGAGACAATATATCAAGTTGCGATTGTGCTACAGAACGGCACCCATGGCTCCGCGTACGTCGATGGTGAGCGTGTGGGAGAAACGCAATGTGAATTAAAAAATAATGATTCGAAAGGGATCTCAAACTTCTACATTGGAGGGAGTGGAGGAAGCACAGGGAGCCGAGACGGCGTGTCTGTGACGGTGACGAATGTCCTGCTGTACAACCGCCCGTTGGATGACCCTGAGATAGGCGCCTTCAACCCGAGAAAAGCTTCTATTCCACCTCCGGTAAACACGCCTACTCAGTTAACAGCGGTTCAGTCTTCTCCTGGTGAAGGACAGGAGGAACAGGGACAGTCGTTGGGGAGAAGTGGTGCGGGCGGTGTATCCACATCAACAGAGTACACTGCCATGACTTCCTCAGGAGAAGAGGGGTCTGTAAACCAATTGTTGTCAGGAAAAACTTCCGATGGAGATCAAAAAGTAAATGGCGAAATCTTATCAGATGGCGAACAAAGATCGGGAACAGAAGTTGGAGATACGGTGCAGGGAGATGGACCCACGGTGAATCCTGAGGTGAACGTGGGCTCTGCTGAGGATGGGAAGACGGCGAGAGGAACGGATGGGCGGGAGGAGGAGATCCATCCACAGAACGGGGAAGTAAATGCTGCGGCACTCAGCAGCAGTCTCGGAAATGTGTCGCAGGGGAATAACAGCGATGCCGGCACCATGCGTGGGAGCGGACTGCTGCTGCTGCTTCTTCTGTTGGGACTGTGGGGGTTTGCGGCTCTGTGAGGAGTGACTGGCTGCCGCGTGGGACACTTGCGACCCTCCGCTGCACCGAAATACTATTCCCATTTGAAGGAGTTTTCCCCATAAAACTCCTTTTTTTAAAACTGTTTGTTCGGAATTTATAATTTTTCAAATTTTTTATTGTCTTTTTCTTTCTTGCTCCTCTCTTCCCTTTTTTTTTTTTTTTTGCTTTTTGGGCAATCACTATTGACGCTTTTCTTTTCTACTCTTCCCTCTTTTAATTGTTTCTGCTGCACTCTTCCTGTGAGGGGTGCCGTGTGTTTCCGCCCAACTGCTCCACTCGCACACCCACCGACACGCTCATGACGACGGCCCTGTGCGCCTCGCCTGCTGCACGCATGAGGAGGGGCCGCGACGAACGGCGCGCTGAGGGAGCCGTGACGTGTGGGCGTGCGACGAGGGCCGGTGTGGCGGAGCACACATTTCTTTCCCTCTTGTTTTGTTTTTGTTGCGACGAGGGCCGGCAGACACCCGCAGCGCCACACACACACAGCCACACCCTGCCGCAGTGTTTTTCTTTTGTTTTTTCCCTTTCTGTGGACGGGTGTGAGCTGCCACCGTGCGTGATGGAGGGCGGAGAGCTGTGCTGGATGTAGTGCCGACGGACCACTGTGCATCCTCAGTGAATTCTTTACTTAATGGCTGTCTGATGCACACCGTAATGAGTAATGCATTTCCCCCTCTTATTTGCTTTTTGTTGCCCACACGCGGTGCCGGCCCTGCGGCTGTGCGTCCCATGGACTGCACGAAATGGGGATTTGAAGAACAGGCCGGATGCCGTATGAAATGTGGAGGATGTTGTGTGGGCTGGTGGAACAGTAAAGTCTTATCTTTGACTTTTTTAATTGTTGCAGGCAATATGCATACACAAGCAAATGACTGTATTGTACTTCTTGGCGCATGAAATAAACGTCTTTCCGAATCATTTTTTTTTTCATATTTTTGGGAGTTCTTCTGGACTCTCACCATTTTTTCCTTTGTTTTTGGTAAATTGCTGCGGTTCATTTTTTTTTTTTTGCTGTGTTCACTGCCGCTGAGTGTCTCCGTGCCCTTTTATTGTCTCTCTGCTGGCTGTGCTGCTGACACGCCCCCATTTCTTCTTTCTCCTTGTTAGAGCCACCGATGGTCCGCGACGAAGATTGCTTGTGTTCCCCTCTGCGATGGCACGAGGGTGACTGGACGCCGGTCTGCTGGGTGCACTCGGAGGGAGCGGATGGTGTGCGCCGTGCCCCACTGTGAATGTGGGATACCACCCGTCGCGACCTGCTGTGAGGCGGAGAGAAGTGAAAGACTGCGCCGTGTACTTTGACGTGCCCCGTCCCTCTTTTTACGGCTGTGTGTGTGCTGTGCGCATGGCTCTATCTTGCGGTGCGGCGTTGATAGCTGTGCCTCTGCGCGCGTTGTGCGGCGGGATTTTCTTCTCCATTTCTTTGCCCTTTTGTGTGTGGGAAGGTTGTGGGAAAGGATATGTGCGGGGGAGTGGGCGTGGGTGGCTTCTTGCCTTGCCCCGCGCATTGAGGGCTTCCATACAAGTGGCTATGCTTGACGGCGTTTTGCGGCACCCGGGGCGTAGTGAGGAGGAGGATGGGGAGGGTCAGTTGTGCGCAGAAGGAGGATGGACAGGATAGTCCCCTTCCGTGTCCTTCCCCGTGGCGTTGGCAGTACATACTGAGAGCATAAATTTGCGCGAGTGCGGGATGAAAGGTTTATGCCGCTTTGTGCGTGCTACTCAATCTTTGTCATTGCAGGCTTTCGTCACGGTGCGTTGTGGTGCGGTGCTGTTTGATGAGGGAGGGGTGCGATGCTACGGCTGCTGCGCACCACAACCATTTATTGTCTCTGCACCGGGATTTGTTTTTTTGCGCTCGCATAATATTTTCTTTTGCTTCACGATGAATTTGTTGGAGGAGCTTTGGTTTTGGTGCCTGCTTCACGGCGCTTCGCCTCGTGTGTCGGTTGCGGTGCTTCCACGTGGTGCCAAAGCGTTTGATGGGGTGTTCATTCTTCTTTTTGCGCCCTGCAGCCGACCTTGTTTGGCCATGGCGGCAGCAGTGGGGCTCTGCGACTGCGCGCTTGCCGTGCGTCTCTCATCTTTTGCCGTTGCTCCCTCGTTGTGTTGGTGAGGGAGGAGGCGAGCGATTGCGTTGGTGGAGTTGCGCCCCAGTGGGAGAAGGAAGGCACCGACCGCTGCTGACGACGACGGTCTTTGCTGCAGGCGATGTGACGGGAAGATGTCACCGGTGTCACAGTTAATCGAGATGGATGAGGCCGCACTGCGTCTTCCGCCCCTTTCATCATCCCCTCTGTCCACTGCAGTCACACGCCACACGCACCGCAGAGCAGCGGCGCGACCACCATCCGGATGTCTGTGAGCCAATCGGAATGTGCAATCGGCGGGAACCCTTTTCCCTGTGTTTGAGTTCTGCCGTGCTTCTTTATTTTCCTTTGTTGTGTATGTCGTGCGCGCCTGGTGCCGCTGCCTGCTGTGCAATGCCGACTTGCGTAAACGAGAAACGACGCCTTGACTCCTGGCGACCGGCGAGCTCTCCACTCCACTTACGCACCACCAACACCAACACCCTTCGGACGCGCTTGATGGCTGGCGGTCGTAGCGCTGCCACGTGGTCTGCCTCGGCTCTTTTGTGTCGTGCACGGAATCGGGACAGCCATGTGATGCAGCCATTCGGCAATAGGAGCGGTGCCAGTGGTCATGTGGCTTTTTGCCGGGATTCCGCCACTCGGCACGGTGGCTGTACGGGGCTGTGTGGGTGATAGGAGGGCGATGGTGTCACTGACTTGATTGCGTCAGCGCTGCTTTGTGTCGGCGGTTGTACTGTGATGGCTATTGTTTATGACGGGATGCCTCTGCGTGCCACTGTGTTTGGTTACTGTTGTTGCTGCCTTTTATTCTTTTTCTGAGCGTACAGTTAGAGATACTTTTGCTTTACCGGCACAACTATCGTTTCAAGGTGTTAGGGATTACTTGCAGTATTAGGATTAGCAGTATTAGTATAACGACCTATCGGAATCGTGTCATTGGATTCGCCATCTGTAGGAAGGGATTTTGAAAGCTGGAGTTATGGTCAACGGGGCGAGTGCGACACACCACGACAGCCCTATTGGTACCTGTCTGGGTCTTTGGATGTGGTCTGCGGTGGGTGCGTGTCCGCGCAGCCGGCACCGCGAGCTGCACAGGGCCGCTGCGGCTGTGCGTATGGCGCTGCTTGTGGCGTTGGCGCTGGTTGCGGCGGCGGCGGCGTGGATACCTGCGGTGCATGCGGTGGTGTTGCGACTGCGGGGCGGTACGGTGGACAGAGCCATCACGGTTGGCCACGCCGTGGACACGGTGCTGATGGACGGCGTGCACATCACGAACGGCGTGGCTGTGGTGTTCGACGTGCCGGCGATGCTTCCCGGCCCGCTGCGCATCGAACTGAGGGACTGCGTGTGCGGCGGCGGTGCGCAGATCTACGTGCGGGGCTACAGCGGCGAGCCGGCGAGTGACCGGAGCCTGGAGGTGAGCGTGAGCGGGCTGTCCGGCGGCCACTGCTCGCTTGTGTTTGTGCACAACCTGCCGGCACATACGAACGTGACGGTCCGTGACTCGACGATTGCGACGGCGGGGCCGATGCGCTACTCCCAGCTGGGCGGGCTGACGGACGCTGTGGCGTCACCGCTTGTGCTGTACGCGACGTCGCTGTTGCAGACGCAGCTGCGTGTGAGCAACACTGTGCTGAGGTCGTTGCAGGCGGGCGGGTCGGCGGTGCACATTGGCGGCGACGTGGACCTGCTGTCGAGCGCGGTGGTGCTTGACGGCGTGTTGCTGGAGGCGTCGGGTGGTCCGACCGCGTCCGCGATGAATGTAACGTCCTCGTCGCGTCTCGGTCTGCGGAGCCACTCGGTGTTCTCCGTGACGAACGTCTCTGTTGTGAGCAGCGGCGGCGGCCTTGTGCTTGGAGAGCGTCTCGCGGTGTCTGACTCGGTGCTGCGCTTTGTGGGCGTCGAGGGGTCTGTCGCGTCCTCGCTGGTGCGCTGCGGCGGTGGGACGGTCAGTGCCGGCGGGTGGCTGGACCTGCACGACGTGTGGGCGGTGGGCGAGGCGTCGTCGGTGGCGTCGCTGTCGGGTGTGACGCTGAGCGGCGGTGCCGTGTCGATTGCGCGCTGCGCTGCTACTGGCGCGACGCTTGTTTTCGGGCTGACGATCACGAGCGGCACCGTGACCGTGCAGTGCAACCGTGCCGGCGGCCGGGTGCTGCAGAGCAGCGGCGACTACCGCATGGCCGGCCTGCCCTCCGTGAGCGTGGTGCCGTGCGACGGCTGTGCGGCCGCGCTGGCGTGCTTTGATGCGCTGACGGCTTCGTTCTTTGACTGCGTGTGCGGCTGCCGTGCCGGCGGCTTGGGCGAGGCGTGCCTGCCGTTCGACGTGCCGCCTGCGAGGTTCGGTGGCGGTGGTGGCGGTGCGCAGGGCCGCGTGAGTGGCGTGACGCTGACGGAGTCCGTGACGGTTGGCGGCGGGCGGGTGACGGCGTGCTTCGACTCGGTGGTGTTCAGCGGACCGATCATCGTGGCGGTGGACCTGCGCTCGATGGACGCGTTCGATGACGCACTGAACGTGACGCTGCGCCACTGCGTGCTTGCGGGCGGTGCGCAGCTGCGGATTGGCGGCCTCAGCGAGAGCACGGCGCGCCTGATGCCCCACGTCCT